AACGTGACGAAATGTAAGACTTAATGTCCTCCACCAAGGTATCTTTGGCAAGTCTAGAAATAAATATAGACTTTTTAGGTGGAATAATTACCAAATTTTTAACAGATGCTAAGTTATTAGGGGGAGCCTCTGGAATTGTGAGACACTTATTACTATTAGATAGAGCTTTTGGAGAATTGAGCTCTTTGGATGTTGACAGCTTATCACCTTGAGGGCAAGGAAAAGAGAGATTTATTAGTTCATTGGGAGGAGACGTTCTCATCTGTACAGAAGAACTAAGTGTTACTTCATCGGAAGGACGTTTGCGCTTAGGAGCAGGTTTGGAGGATTCGTGAGAATCATTCAGACACTTAAAAGATTTGAACAATTTTTTGTAGTGCCTAAATTTTTCGGTGAGGGTTACAAGATCTCGACCGATTTCGTTAAAGCCATTGCGTGTCTGCCTATAAACTTTAAATAGATCAATTTCAATAGATCTACAATTTAAACAGGACCAACGCAATCCCTTACAGTCGAGTATAGAATTAAAGATTCATCATGTTAGTCCAGCACATTAAATATGGGCAAGCCCATCACAAAGCCAGCATGAAACTCGCCTTTAATGTTACAGTTGGGGAAGTTACAAGACATAATAAACAACAAGAATGAAGATTAAATAAAATTGTAAGTAAAACAAAATCTACTAGATATATAATAAATTAGTGTGTTAATAAAATATTAATAAAAATAAATTCAATTAAGAACAAATGCAAAAATAATAGCAATTTTTTATCAAAGTTCAAAACCAACACAGTTTAAAAAAGCAATATAGCGAGCAGTTTTAGATGACAGATAAATAAAGAGAGAAAATAGAGCAAAATAAAAAAAATGCAACAAAGTTCAAAACCAACACAGTTTGAAAAAGCAATATAGCGAGCTGTTTTAGATGAACTGGAACAAATAAAAAGATACACGCAACACAGCTGTGAATAAAGAAGTAAATGAGATAAATAAAGAGATAAAATAGAACAAAATAAAACAAAAAGTTGACTCGGCACCAAAAATTCGAAAATTTAAACTTTTTTATAATGCACAAAACTTAAGAACATTTAATACTTAGCTTGCAACTCAGAGTCAAATCACTAAACATTGTATTAAATCACTAAAAAAAAACAATTAAGATTGAAGAATTTTGTAAAATAAAACACAAAAGTTCACAGCCAAAAAATTACAGCTTTACAGTTTGAAGTGTTGCCACCTACGGTCCAATAACGGAAATGAAATACGCAGTAAGACGTATGGAAAACATACAAAGAGGAAGTAGTATTTGCATCAGTGTAGCTCTCAAAACAACACCAAGCCAGGCCCTAACGTAATTTTACACCTACTATCGACTTGTTTTGTAAGCAAATGGCAGCTAAGTCAGCTCTTAGCTTTTTATTAGCTGCCAAACAAAGGACATTCTAAGATACTAAGGAAGTTCCCGTTTCTTTCCCTTTCCAAGGATTTTTAAAATAATATTAAGTCGAATTTAAATTCTGTCCCCAATATTGCCTTCCCTTCCAAAGAAGAGTGGGAAAGGGGAGAGGGGGACATGGGCGCAGGGATAAGCATCTATACTAATGGCTCAAAGCTAGGTTATCGAGTGGGAGGTGGCGTTTTTTCTGCAAAACTAGATACCAAAATCGCCTTCCACCACTGTAGTGTCTTCCAGACGGAGATTAAAGCAATTAAAGAAAGCTTTCTTGCCCTGAGTGTGCTCACGACAAAGAATATTTTTATATATACAGGTAGCCAGGCGGCTTCAAAATCACTAAAGTTTCTTAGGGTTTCGTCAAAGTTAGTGCAAGAATACTTTGATCCCTTAGTGGATCAAACACCTGAGAACTGTGAAGCAGATGAACTAGCCAGAACCGGCTCTGGACTACAATTAGACTACGAAAATGAAGGAATTTATATGCCTCTGGCTACTTGCAGATATTTAATTGACAAATATGTTATAAACATAATTGAGTGTTTCCGGTGGAATCAATCCCTGACTTGCTCAACAAGCAGGCAAACATGGCATGAATGGAGTATGGGCCGCACATGCCGAAAAACTTAAAAAGATATACAAGTAAGAACTCTATTAAGAGTGCTAACAGGTGGTCTAATACACAGTAGGCTAGGAACGCCATATAACGACTTTTGTAGAAGCTGTCAAGAGGTAGAAGAGGAGGAGACTATTAAACATCTTCTATGCGAATGCAAAGCTCTATATAGGAAAATAATCTCAACTATTGTACGAAGCACGGGTAGTTCCGAGAGGAGCCCATAGAGTGAGGGGGCTTAAGTCCAGGTGGTATCCCAATGAGCCTCCTAAAGACCTAGGTGCGTCGATAGACAGCCACTCTACCTACCTAACTAATTATGTTCCATGGATAGCATAAAATAACGAGATTTGCTGGTGAACGATCACCTTCCCTCTATAAGGAAGCTATAGCCAGGGTGCGGAAATTTTGGGAAGAAGACTTGAGACGGCGCTTAAACTGTATCTTCCACTCCACCCACGTGCTTAAGTCAGACTCCCAACTAAATCTTCTGCCTGTCTATATCAATCTTTCACTACCCACTACTTTTGGATAGTGACCAGGCTAGAGAAGACTGGGGATCCATATCGGCAAGTATCTATACAACGTGTTATAGCAAACGAGTCTAGTAAAATGGTAATTTAAGCAAGTTTTAATAAATAACATCACATCACGAGTATGAGTGTGTACACAAAAAGCGGCGAGAGATTATAACGGTGATGCCACTAAATAAGCACCCACGTGCTTAAGTCAGACTCCCAACTGAATCCTCTGCCTGTCTATATCAATCTTTCACTACCCACTACTTTTGGAGAGTGATCAGGCTAGAGAATACTGGGGATCCATATCAGCAGGCGCTGATACTTCTAAACACCTATTCTTAGCTACACGAAAGAAGCCATAAGCTATGGTTTTGAGAAGGTGGTTCTACAAATCCCTCCGATGGACCCCAAAACGGCTGACTCCCAAACTTTAGGAGCAAAGGTGGAGAAGGGAAAAATCGACTTCGTCCTTTCAGTTGCGGGGAGCATTGGGGTCGGATCGTTGATTGACGCATCCGTGTTCGGTCTCGAGTGGTTGTTCGAGGAGAATGGAGTTGGTTATGGGGCTAATGCGAAACTCGCCTTTTTGGAAAAAAGTCTGGAGGTACAGATAAATATCCCGCGTACAGATAAATATCCCGCTAAGGCCCTTCGTTTAGGAAAAAGCGACGTTATCCTAATTTTAGGATTAGAGGATATGGTTACCACAGTCCAGTCGATCCGAAATTAGGAGTTGGTGGCATCACAAAGGACTCAGTTAGTCTGTCCTTTCTGATCTTTATCTGACTGCTCTTCGGTAACAAAACTATACAGTTTCGCAAAAGATTTGCACCTCGTTATAGATGAAATATTAGAAGTTAAGCCTCTTATACCTATGTAGTCTTCTTCATACAGGTATAAATTTACATAAGTTGATTTTTAGTCCCTCTTCTCTTTTTTTAGAACATCTTCTACTAGAATCGTTTGCACTAAGCTTTGAAGTACTTAAATTACTTTTGCTACAGTCCCCATATACTAACAAGGTTATAATCTCCGACGTACAGTATAATTGCTTTTTATGTATTATAATTATATCACTCTGTATCTCAATAATGTTAAAGAATTCTGATACCATAAATGTTTTACGAGAGAGCGGGGGTGACTCGCCCAAAATTACGTTTCATCTTGTATTTATAATAAAGCTAAATTTTGGCCAGTTTTATTTCTTCTTAAACAACACATGTCCAAAAAGCACTCTTTCTATTACGAAGGCAAAGGATTTAATTATTCGATTTTGTTAACGCTGCTATATTTTTAGCTTGTACTTCGCACTTCTGGCAAAAACTAACGTATAACTGTTGTTAAGTTCCATTGACTTTGGATTAAAAATTAATTTAGTCAGTTCAAAATACTTTTTCGTGCGGTTGCTTCTATTTCGTTTGGTTTAAAAAGCGCAAATAGAAAGCGTTAATGATTGAAAAACAAACTAAAGATTTTGGGTGATTCCACCAGTAAAGGCCTTATCAGCGAAATATGGAGTTCCAAATTCGTCAGTTTGTACTATAAAAAAAATTAAATTTAAAAACGAGGAATTTGATGAAAAAACGCATCGCACGAAATTAGTAGGGAAGTGAAATTCCTAGAATAGAGAAGGCTTCTACAAATGATTTATGACTCAGTATCGAAACAAAGTCCCAAACCAAAATCGTCATTGGCTTTAAAACAGTACCACTAGTTTTAAAGCCCATAACGAAGAGATTTCATTCTAAGTTCTTCGAAAAAAACTCTTCGGAATGTGTCTTATTAAAATTATCTTATCGGTAAATATAACTAATTCGCTTTCAAGAATTTTTCGATTTTACGAATAAGACGTACAACATAAGATTCGCTATATACAATTCCGTTCTAGTAATGATTACTAGCATCACGTTCAAACGACAAGCTGTTGAGAGCATAAAATAATTTACAAAATTTGGCAAGATATTTCCACACAAAAAAAACTTAAAACTCAAACATTTTATAAGTCACTTAAAAATTATCAACTGTAAATACTTTTTCTACTATGTACAATTTTTAATGCATGTTCTTCAAAAATTCTGGAATTATATGTATATTATGCGCAGATATTTATTTTAATAGTTTCTAAACTAGTGCTACTATATCTTAGGATGAGTTCCATTCTCACGATAGGCGGGTGTACGTAATCAAATTGAACCCGGCTTTATAACATAATCAGTAATATGATTGAAAATAATTTACGAATACAATGTTGGGCTCCTTATATAATATTATATTATACATCTGCCGCTAAAATGCTAAATAACGTAACCACAGTTTTCATAAGTTTACAAGAGAAGGGAAAAATTATTTAAAGTTTATATTTTATTCTCATTTACTCATATTGAAACAAAATGTAAGATTTATTTATAACCTGGATACGCTGATAGCTTAAAATTTTGCACATACATATATGTAATATGATGCAATGAATTGTAATCATTAAAAAACTTCACTTTGGAAGTTTTTGATGTTTTGCATTTCAGGTGACGATATACTTCTTTTGCTCCAAAATGCGCCTGTACTTGTAGGTATGTATTAGTACAACAACCACTCAATATCCAAGCTGTTATGGTTTACTTTCTATTTTCTTGTGCCACACGTATACACATAATTTATGCACATCGATTAAAATACACACAGCCGTCTAAAAATATATTTATTAAATACAGTATCCATTGGTTGCACTGAGACACAGTTGATCAATGATCGTATACCAAACAGGACATACTTTTGTAATAAAAGTTTGTAATAAAATTCTAAAGCCCGATATCATACACTAAACGTTTACTTTCCACGAAATAACCCCATAACTACATGTGCATGCATGAAAAAATTTATCAACTTTAACAGATATTAGCACACATCAGCTCCTTTATAGACATACATACATATAACATAAAATGTGCATATACCATATATTTAATAAAATTGTTTCTTTCAATACTTTTATCGAAGTTTATTTCCTCCTATGTTACTGTTAGTTGGTGTTTTGTTGACCTTCGTTGCAATGTGTATTTTGCACTGTCCATATCAACGTTTTAGCCTTTCACTCGTTACATTAATTTCCCACGTACACATTATTTTCACAAATCATTGCACATTAATATTATATGCTTCAATCTTTTAACCAAAATGTTTACACGTCTGCTATTCTGGCGCTTTTAAATATTTCAATTTAAAAATACAATATGCTGGTCATGCCACAATGTATATTGTTAGCAACCCAGCAGCGGATCGGCCATTACGCGTTAAATGCTTTGGGAAGGGTAACAAGTATCTATACAACGTGTTATAGCAAACGAGTCTAGTAAAATGGTAATTTAAGCGAGTTTTAATAAATAACATCACATCACGAGTATGAGTGTGTACACAAAAGGCGGCGAGAGATTATAACGGTGATGCCACTAAATATTCCCTGATTTGAAAAGGGAAAACTTGTCTCTTTAAAAATATTAAAAGGTTTATGGATTTACGGAATTAAGCTAAATGTATCTAAAATAAAGGCAAATTTTCTTAAAAATAAAATTAATTTGTGGCCATTCTCTAAACCTGCCAATCAATGGTGGCGCTGTGATTGAAATTTTGTAAGCGTACGCCTGTAAACCAACAATCGATTAAATGACCGATTATTTACCCAACAGCGCTACCAAAGATTTTTATTAAAGTTTCTATAAGTTTCTTGAGTCCCAGTTGGCAATTCTAACCGAAACTCTTGTGAACGTGTGATCGTTCGTCCCTTTCTTACGCAAACTCCTTATGTGTTGCACGATGTGTTACAATAATTTCCACGTTAATTGTTTGAATGTATTGGAGTTCCACTAACTGGGACTGGCGTTATGTTTTTTATTTTGAGTTTGTTAATTCTATGAATGTAAGGCTTCGATTCGAGTTTTTTTTGTCGGATAGGTTTTAGATGAATCTTAGCGGATTAGTGATGGTCACCAAAAGATTCTTCGGTTGGAACTGGATTACTAAAAGCAGCCATTACTTTTAAAGCATATATTTTTTTTCAAATTTATGTCAAGTCAAATAGCAACTTATTTAATAATACTACCTTTACTTTTATAAAATAAAATAATTTTCTGACAAAACAATTATTTAAAATTCTAATTTTTGTATGCCTTTGACTACACCAAACCCCTTAAATTCTAATGAACTTTTTCTTATGCTTTGAACACAAAGACGACTGCACGACAGCGAAATTTTCTTGTCCTCTTGACGCCAGCTTTTTGAACATTTAGATGGCGGTAGCGACATATTAACCAGCTGATGTACACAATTTCATTGTTGCCGTACTAAAACCTTTCACTCCAATGAAATATTTTGTTCAAAGTGAAACTTTTTTGTACAAAAAAAAACAAAAAAATTTTATTGTTTTAAATTATCAATTCTTATTACAAATTATATATCAGCGCTATGTTATGCTTCTGTTAATAAAATCACGTTAGACTTATTAGAGCTATGAATAATTTTACATTTCACATATTAGGGGCAACACTACAGCTGCCCATTGTTGTCGGCAAAATTAGAAATGGTTTTAATTTAGCGGCAGCGACAACTGCAAGCCTGCTGTATAGAGGTCGTGCTGTTGTCTAAATAACTGTGCCTAACGAACGTGTGTATTTTAATATTTGAAAGATGCTGATTTTCGGTTGCAGTCGCCTATTTGCTCAGCGTTTTATTCTTTCATATTTTCCAAACGCTTCCCAAAAATGTGAACTAAGGGTTGTTATCTGCGTTTTTAAGTATACTGATTTATATAGCCTTCCTGTTTTAGTATCCAATACAATCATAACGGCAACTATAACCTACTAGCTTTCCGCAATAGGGTTGTTATTTCCCTTTGCATTCCAATTGGGTTTAGACTCACCAGTACATTAACTGATATTGTATATACACTGCAGAGGAGTAATGGGAAATAATAATTGAAGGAAAAAAATACGTATATATGGTAATGCCCTTTTTCGATTAACGCAACAAAATTGATTATTATTTACCTGTTACGAACTATGGAATGTGGGCATATGCTATTACTTTTTCATTTTTATTATTATTTTTATTTTTATATTTTTATTATTATTTTTTATTGTTTAAATTCAGATTAAACAAGAAAAAACGTTAACTTCGGTTTCACCGAAGCTATAATACCCTTCACAAAAACAAAGGCCTCTTACAAGAACTTGATTCCGAGCGTTCAATTTGTATGGTAGCTATATGATATAGTGATCTGATCTGACCAATTTCAGCGGAGAATAATTTGTTGCCTTAAGCGATAACTCGTGCCTAATTTCGTGAAGATACCTCGTCAAATAAACAAATCTTCCATGGAAGCACTTTACTTCGATCGTTCAGTTAATATGGCAGCTATATGCTATAGTCATCCGATCTATACAATTTCTTTGGCGATTAGATTATTGCCGTAAATAATAATCCATGCCAAGTATGTATACATTTTATAGGGTCTCCGACGTTTCCTTTTGGGTGTTACAAACTTCGTGGCAAACTTAATATACCCTGTTCAGGGTATAAAAATCACGCGACTTCTAGGAATATTGCCATAGCCGCTCATTGAACCTGAGTTCGGAAATTGCCACTTGGTCACAGGTATAATATATAAATGCCACATAAAATAAGAACCAATAATTTGTTAATGTAGCTCACGTTGCTTTAAAATTTTCATTACATTTGGTTAACTAAATAGACTTCTGATGTTCGTATTTATCACGAAAATTGTTAAGTTTATATCTCGATTTGAATCTTAACAGTGAAGTCGCCAATAAGTCATCCGCATTTCAGCACAAATACTGCAAAATCCGACATCACTTATTTTCTATATAAAACGACATCATAGGATATGAAATTGCATAACAGTCTGCTTGAGAACTATTCAAGAAAAATTCACTAATGAAAAAAGAGCTCGTATCCAGTAATATGGATTTATGCTCTGCAAAAGAATATTGATAAAATACTCACTTTAGAGCAAACGAAGCATTAAAATTAAAATTTGGCCAATACGTTCTTTGTCGACACAAATCGTGACAGAAAATGCACTAAGCATAAGACATATACTTGTAGATACTTACTGCTTCTTAGGTGTTGATCGATTATTGTCATGTGACGCAAAATCGATGTTCAAAATGATTCGAGTTAACGTTTTTCATTTTAGCAAGTTGTAAATTTTTGTTATCAGCATATACTGCAGCTGACACATCTCGCACTACACTAGTCTGATGTACAATGCATTACTTTGAAATCAAAATAAAAACTATAATTCGAAGTAAATGGTGAAAAGGAAGTATTGATCCTAGATCCAAACGGATGTCCAAACGGATATGTTAACTGGCATACCAAGAATTAAGAACCATTGAAAGAGTGAAATTTGTATCACCCAGAAGGGAACGTCGTCATGAATAAATGATAAGCATGATCAGCTGAGTCGATTTAACCTTATCTGCGTCTGTCTATCAGTAAATACCCAAACTAGTACCTCAGTTTTGAAATATCGATCTGAAATTTTACACACGTTCTTTTAAATATTAAAAATAGAAATATTTGAAAACAAATTATTTCTTTTATATTTTCGAACAAAAAGAAAATAATAATAGTAATTTTGAAAAAAATATTGCAAATAGCTACCTATTTCTTGAAAACTAAATAATATGTAGTTTAAGCAAACAAATAATAAAACTAAGTAATAATAAATTAAATTTATAAGTAATAACAAATTAGTTGTAGAAGTTATAAAAATTCGGAGAAGTACTTGAATTCAATATGCAATATAAGTACATAAAACTAAACGGACTACTTGAACAACGTCTATATGCTACAATGATCCAATCTGAATAATTTGTTCGGGGATTGTTGCGTTGCCTTGGTCCATACCAAATTGCATGAAGACATCATGTTAATTTAAAATGTTTCTATATAGGGACTTGGATTGAGTGTGTATGACAACTATAAGCCATATGTAGTCCGATCTGAACAATTTAAACGGCGGTTATAGTTACCGAAAAAAATTTATTTATTGAAAGAATATTCCAGAAAGTAAAAGTTAATTGTTTGGATCATAACTGGCTCAGTAATCGGGCTACATTAGCGACTAAAAATGTAGAAGTTGATGAAATAATTTTCAGTTATAACAGTTGTTGCCAAGCTATCAGATGTATTTTAAATCATTCGCTACTGTTGTTAATGAAAATGAAAACGTAAACTATCAAATATACTCGAAATGACATCACATAATCTTCGGTTGACAAGTAATACCAATTCACCTCTATTATGCAACGGTACAGATTTGGGAATCAAAAGGATTACAGGAAATATTATTGCAGCAAGCATTTTGACTGGAAAATTTAATGGAATGGTCCTCTTGCCAAGTTGTCCAGTGATTGGCTAATAGAGCTGAATTAAATAGAATTCGAAAATGTTCACAATTAAAACCTTTATATATTATTGTTAAAAATTAAGAGCCTATTTCATTATCTCAAATGTTATCAACTAACAACTTTAAAAATGACTCAATTGTTTCAAACTTGAATATAAAATTAATAAAATAAAAAAATCAACATACTATATTTTATGTTTATTTTTGACTAATAATAAATCAAAGAAAATAAGTATCAATCATTTTCAAATTTGGAAGTGATCCGCGGAATAACTTATAACTCCTTATACCGGAAATAACGTTTTCTTTTTTATTCATAAATACAAATTTACTGTATTGAATAGCTTATAATTAATGGATACATTAGCCACAGCAACGCGTGGGCGAGGTCTTCTAGTTTTAAATAAAGATAAACGCAGAAATATGCGAATGCGTTTTCTTTTTAAAAATCTACTTCTAAATCTAACTCTGAAATTTCTTCTACTGTTATCCGATTAAAGATATGGCCTGGTCGTGGTAGACCTTGATATTCTTGTCCAGAAAAATACCGTACCACTTTGTCATTGCATGTACTTGCTATTAGACTGTGCAATTGAAAAATTTTCGTTTTGTGGAACGGGTTCACAGTTTCCTTTTGCTACGATATTGGCGGATTTTAATCCCCAAGATTTTTTGAAGATATTACAAAACATGTCAGATGTAATCCCTACACTTCTTCCAAAGTTTTGAAGTAATAGTCGTATCTACACCTTTTGGTTGACGACTACAATTTACTAAACTATTTTATTATAATACTGTTTTTGTGAGGAGGAAGATTTCTACTTAAATTTTCTTCACAACTATAACCCTTAAATTTAATGTCAAGTTGGACAGCTGTAGGGCTACAAATATTTTTTTGTAACCGTGCTAATATCGAAAAAGCGAAAAATTTAGCGAAGTTGCAGCAACGATAAAATACAAAGGGCCGAGTTATGACGCTATGTGTGGTCAGCTATTAGGCTAACTTTATTTGGAAAATTCTTTTCCTTAAATAATATTCTAAGCAATATTTCAACACTGTTCAATACATAGTTTCCGCTAAATATATAGTTTCGTTTTCTATTAGTACATATATAAGTATGTAAGTTATATAGTGTAAATTTAACTGTTCATAAGAGGAGAATGATCCAAGTACATACTTTACGCTATTGTTCCTTCGTATATAATGTAGTTATTAAGAAAAAGAGAAATGTAAAATATGGGAACGCAGCATTGCAAGAGGCTGCTTACATATTAAGCTTACAAGTAGTACATGTTAAATTCTTGCCCTTGAATATTAGGCAAATAAATAGAGAACAAGAAATAGCAAAAAATATATTAGAACATATGACCGTATAATGGCATTTCAAACAGGTAGAAGTGCTAGCTTGTGAATTGGTCGCCGAATTTTCCTTTCGTTGTTCGAATGTCCACCACAGGCACTTTAGAGTCCTTTCCAGGAATACAGTTTATAACTCTTCCAATGTGCCATTTTGTGGTGGTAAGTTATCCTCATAGATGATAATCATTGAGTGGTTGTTGATGTTTGGTCGCTCCGAAAACCACTAGCAGGTATTGGCAGTGTCTTTCTAAAACTGCGGTGCAATTCTCCAATGACGGCAGCGTTCTGAAGTCTAGCGACTCCTTCCACCACTGTTGGGCTGTTCATCAGGCTTCTGCAAAATTAAATGAATAAGCATAGCTTGCGATATTTGGCTATCGGTACCTAGCGATGTCAAGAAACCATAAATAGCTAAGCCTTATCAATTAAACTTCTTAGCTGAAAGCCATTTGGTGGTAAATCAAATAACAAATTTATTCCTTCCAAAAAAATTAGTGTTTTGTTGTCATACCATACCATACCATACCTTCAACCGTTCTAACGCCTTTGTGTAGTTTTCATTTGTCACTTGAAACGCATTTACAGTTTCTAAGGCTTGATCTTGGAGACAAAGGTTAAATTTTTCAATATGAATTAAATTGAACTTACGATCAATTATTTGCTTGAACGAGGTGATAAAATTTTGATAATTCGAATACTTGTCATCAAACGTAGGAAGCTAAGTGGTGGAAGTTTTGAACTTGATTGTACCACGCAAGTTGTGTCCGAAAGTGAAACGTTGTTATCTTCTGCCAGTTGCGATTGGGTAACCAATTTAGTTGTGATGTAAAGTTCTTCCAGGTCACCACGTCCTCCATCATCCGCAACCAATCTATCGATGTCAGTTTAAAATGATAGAATCTGCTTAAAATAGGACTCCAGGATACAAAAACGGCATTTGTATTCCGCAGCCTTTCCCCCTGGTCGCAAGCTGGAGTCAACGATATTTTTAATGCGCGTAATATTTTTCTTGGCGCTCGCGCGTTGTTGTCTTAGCTCGTTCAAAGACATTGCAGAACAGGATCTTGTATATGTTATATAGAGCCTTCAAAATT